TTCTTTATCTTTGGAGAATTCTCTTCCTCTTTGATAAATTCTTCCATTTGGTTTCCGCCAGTCAGTATTTCTGAAACTTCTGTTAACTGGTTATTTGATCTCCTGGATATAGTTTAAGATGTTTTTATGATAGTTCAGTTATGCTTATCAAGTGTGTCCCTTAACTTTCAAATTTGTTGCTGAGAAGAGAGGTCTCTGGAAAAGTTAATTGGGAGTCTTCAGTTAAGTTCATGAGATTAAGTATTTAAGATCATGAGACTAGGGCTGGGGTTGTGGCTCAGTGGTAGAGTGCTTGCCTAGCACACGTGAGGCACTGGGTTCAAACCTCAGCACCACATAAAAATGAAATAAAGATATTGTGTCTACCTACAACTAAAAAATAACTATTTTTTAAAAAGATCACCAGGAAAATAAAGTAATAAAATAAAAAAGGCCCAGGACTGAGGTCTGAAGAATTCTAGCAAGGAAAACGTAGAGGGAGAAGGAGGAATCAGCAAAGGAGACAGAGGGTGGCCCCTGAGGTAGGAGAAAAGCTAGGAAAGTATGACTCCAAAGGAGTGTTTCAGAGAAGCAGCCTTGTGTATGAAAGTTCCTCAGAAAATTAAAAATAGATCTACCATCTGATCCAACAGTCCCACTTCTGGATGTGTTGGAAAGACACCTGCATACCCATGTTCATTGCAGCACTATTCACAGTAGCCAAGATATAGAAGTAACCAAAGTGTCCCTCAGCAGTTGAATGGAAAAGGAAAATACAGTATACATACACAGTGGAATATTATTCAGCCTTCAAAAGAAAGAAACTCTTTGTACAACAATATGAATGATTCTGGGGATATTACACTGAGTGAAATAAGCCAGGCACAGAAAGACAAATACCACACATGTTTCTCACTTACATGTAGAGTCTAAAAAAGTTGGTTGCATAGAAATAAAGAGTTGAATAGTGGACTGGGACTTGTAAGAAGGGGCTGGAGAAATGTTGGCCAAAGGGTACAGTTACGATGAGTAAGTTCAAAAAATTCACGTACAACATGATCACCCTAGTTAATAACAATATGTTGGATACATTAAAAATCGCTAGGAGAGGGACTGAGGTTGTGGCTCAATAGTTGAGTGCTCGCCTAGCACATGTGAGGCACTGGGTTCGATCCCCAGCACCACATAAAAAATTAATTAATTAATTAATTAAAGGTATTGTGTCCAACTACAACTAAAAAATAAAATATTTTTTTTAAAATAGCTAGGAGACGAGATTTTAAGTGTTTCACCACAAAAATTAGTAAGTATATGAGGGAATACATGTACTCGACATAGCCATTTCCTAATGCTGCAGTGAATTCAGGAGTACAGATATCTCTTGGACATAACAGATTTCATTTCTTTTGCATATATACCCAGAAGTAGGATTGCTGGATCACATGCTAATTTTTTTTGGAGGAAATTCCATACTGTTCTCCAACAATGTGCAAAGGGTTCCGTTTTCTCCATGTCTTTGCCAGCACTCATCTTTCATCTTTTTTTTATAATAGCCATTCTAACAGATGGGAGGTGATACCACATTGTGGTTTTAGTTTGCATTTCCTTGTGTATTAGTGAATTTCTACATACTGTTTAGTTACCCCATTTTTTAAAATCTACTGCATAAATATAACTAAAAAGGAAACAGAAAATTACTTACAGAGCAACCAGCTTAATACTCAACTGTTCTCAATATTCTATGTTCCCTTCTAGTTCGTGTGTCTATGAATATTTAGTTTTATATACTTGTGATCAATCACAGCATAATATTGTTTTCACTGGCATTTAAAAATATTATGTTAAATATATTTCTTTTTTTGTATAGGTCTTCCTAGTTAAGAGGTGGAGCTTGCTTTCATTTCAACCTCTTTCAGTTAGCTGGCCAGCTAAGCTCATGAATGGGAATAAGTGGGGGAATGGGAAGAGAATAAAGGACATAAAGGTGCTGACTGAGCCCGCCACAGTTCCATCTGCCCATTCCTCTTGACACCCTGCTGTCACCTTGCAAGGATGTATTTTGTAAGGTAGCATGGCCAGTGTCAGGGGTTTAGAATACATTGTTTAGCAATGAGTCTTAACTCACAGTAAAGATGTTTTCCCTGGACTTATGGTGAGACTATGTCCTGATAAACTCATTCTAAGTTGAAAATAGGCTAAGTTGAAAATGCATTTAACTCACCAAACCCACCAAGATAATAAAGCCTAACAGTTTTACTAGCCTAGCCAACCTGAAACATGCTGAGAACACTTACATTAGAATAAAGCTAGGCAAAATCATCTAACACAAAGACTATTTTATAGTAAAGTGTTGAATATCACTAATTTATTGAATTCTTTACTAAAAGTGAAAAACAACTTTTTTTCTGAATGGTTGTATGGATATACTTTCACATCAACATGAGTTGAACCTTCTTTAGTTGGGGATGTCTGTACTTGAAGGAGACTCCACTGGCAGGTGTCTTTCAGGGGCTTACATCATTGCCACTTTACTTCTTCCCTTGAGTACCCTGAGGAAGTAAGTTGGACTGGAGAGTAGGCACTTATGGAAGGTGTGAGAGGCCACTAACCAGCCCAGGTTTAGTCTGATGTGTCTGTGATGCATTTTAGCAGCTCTCTTTAAATGTTCCCTCTGTTTCTAAAGTGATGTGCACACAGAAGAGAGAACCTTAAAGAACAGATACAGATGTAGTTTTAAAAAAGAAAAAAGAGGGCTGAGGCTGGAGCTCAGTGGCAGAGTGCTTGCCTGGCATGTGTGAGGCACTGGGTTCGATCCTTAGCACCACATAAAAATAAACAAAATATAGGCATTCTGTTTTAAAAACTACAAAAAATATATATATTAAAAAAAAAAGAATAGATGTAATGAAAAATACAACTGGATTGTATATTTCATAATGCGCTAGATGTAGTTCATAAATAAACTTTGGTTTGCTATTTGAAAAAAAATTGAATAGTTAGGTACATTTTTTAGAAGAACCAGATAAGATTTAGAACCAAAAGGAAAGAATTAATTAAATTAATTATAGAAATTAATAGCTAGAAATAATTTGTTCTGTTGTTCTGTTGGAGTTCTCTCCATCTTCAGAACCAAAAAAATGATTGAAGGTAGAAAGAAGAAAGGAAGGGAGAGGAGAAAGAAGCGGGGAGGGAGGAAAGAAGAAAGGAGAGCCTGAATCTAGTGGTATTTTAGGAATGGCAGATGCTGCTGTGATAATGAGTCCCTGACTTGCATGTATGCCTGTTGGGCCATAGTTACGGTGAAACTTTTGTTATCTTGCAGTGTTTATCATAGTCCTTGCTAGGATGACTTCATTCTAGAGAACTGCTGTTACTAAAATATTTCATTGCTTAGTGGTTTTAATCTTCATTTTATAAGAAAAGTTAAATAGATCTTTTCTTCATTGAGTAATTCAGTATGATGCAAGTGAGGCATCTAGATACCTAAAAGTATCAAAAATCTATGGTGGTACTCAGTCTCTGTCCCAGGAGCTTAGTTTGAAACAGTTACCTTAAAAATCATAGATTCTGTACATTAATATGACAGCTTGGCCTTTATTATATCAAAGTTTCGAAAGGACTTAGTGGTAGGTGCTTAGCAAGGTATGCTACCCGCCTGTACATCATCACTTCCGAGTCAGGTGTTTAGATTGGTGGCTGTTCCTTTTCCCTAGCAATCTGGGTAGTGGGTTGGAGCATCTGGGTCAGGCTGGGTTCTAAATCTGCTGACTGTCTAGAGAGGGGGGCATTCTCCTACACCTGCTTTCTATTCTGAAGACACCTGGAGATTGGTGATCACTTCTGGGATCCTTTGTTAGCAGGATTGCAGCAGTTCAGCCTTGATGGTCTTTGCATGTGTTAAATAGGTCAAGAGTTTTCATTTCCCCTTCACTTCTGATATTAGTCTTCAATTCCAGAGCACAAACAAGAATGGTTTCTGGGTTTTTACCCCTAGAATATTTTTTATGTGTCTGTGATACAATATAGATGAAAATAAAGAAATAATTCTTTATATCTTATATTTCCCATTATAAATATACTAAATTCTGTATCATTTCAATGTCATATAAATCCCTTTAATATTTATAACTATTCCATAGATATTCATAATACATCCTTATCCCATTCATTCTTATTTCTCTGTGACTACAAATAGCATACCATTTCCAGTGGTGTTAAAATTGATACATCATTGGTCTGATCAGTTTCTGCTTAGTATCATTGTGTCTTCTAATTACTACCCCTCCCCTCTAATACTAAGATTAAACTCACTGATTTCTTAATCAGAGTTGTGCTCAGTCAAATATGTTAATGATACCCTCTGCAAGTTTTTATTGAGAAATGCTCAATAAACTTGTATTTTGTCAAATGGCTATTGTTTATTTGCCAACATTGTATCAGTTTATATGTATTAAATTGCAAGTTAAAGAAAAACTGTTCCATAGTGACTTATATGAAGCATATGCATTGGCTGGTGTAGCTGAAAGACCAGCAACAGGGCATCTGTATTGTTTGCAGCTCAATAATGCCAATAAAAATTTGGCTTCCTTCTTTCTATCTTGCTGTCTGCAATCCCACTTTCCTCTTACAAGGGCAAGGTGGTTGCGAGCCATTCCATACTCATGTGCTTTCTTACTGATATCCAGTGATGTTTGACAGCCTGCCCTGAAAACCTTTCTTGTGCCCATTGATATTAATATGCTGTGTGCCCCTGCTTTGTGCCAGCAACTGTAGCTGGCGATGGGATTGTCTGAGTAGCTCAGACTGAGAGTCAGCTTTCCCAAGTAGGTAGGGCTGTGGGAGGAGATACAGAAACCCCAACAGGAAGTGGGTAACAGGAGGAAATGGTTGAAAGGTCATAGCCACATCACGAAAGGTGATAGCCACATCATTCACTATGCCACGTGTTTGGATGTCATTCCATTATAAAAGTTCTTGCTTTTTTGGTGTTTTTCTTAATTTATTTTTCCTTCTGTTTTTAGGGGCTGTTTCAACAACCAAACGGACAGGCATCCCAGCTCCCCGAGAACTCTCAGTAACTGTCTCAAGAGAGAGGTCTGTGCCACGTGGTCCCTCCAACCCAAGGAAATCTGGGTCCAGTCCAACTTCCTCCTGTACCCCGACCCCTACCAAGCACCTGAGGACCACTTCAGCAAAATCCAAGCAAGAGAATGAAGGTGGAGAAAAAGCTGTTCTTGAGTCTCAAGTTCGGGAACTTCTGGCAGAAGCCAAAGCCAAAGACAGTGAAATCAACAGGCTTCGAAGTGAACTAAAGAAATGTAAGGAGAGAAGGGCCCTGAGCACTGAGGGGACTGATGCTTCAGACCCAAGTGTTGATGGGATATCAGCCCCACCAGGTGACACAGAACCTTTATTAAGAGCCCTTGAGGAGAAGAACAAAATCTTTCAGAAAGAGCTTGCTGACCTAGAGGAAGAAAATAGGGCCTTGAAGGAGAAACTGACTTACCTCGAGCAGTCACCAAATTCTGAAGGAGTAGCAAGTCACATTGGTGACAGCAGCTGCCCAACATCCATAACTCAAGAGTCAAGCTTTGGAAGTCCAACTGGAAATGAGCTGTCAAGTGAAATTGAAGAGTATAAAAAAAACACACATGGAAATACATTGCGGACATCAGGGTCCTCAAGCAGCGATGTTACCAAAGCTTCCTTGTCACCAGATGCCTCTGATTTTGAGCACATCACTGCAGATACCCCGTCTCGGCCCTTGTCCTCCACTAGTAACCCTTTTAAGAGCTCCAAGTGTTCCCCTACTGGGAGTTCCCCAAATAACGCCAGCGAGCTGTCCCTGGCTTCCCTCACAGAGAAGATACACAAGATGGAAGAAAATCAGCACAGCACTGCAGAAGAGCTGCAGGCTACTCTGCAAGAGTTATCAGACCAGCAGCAAATGGTGCAGGAACTGACAGCTGAGAACGAGAAACTGGTGGATGAGAAGACGATTTTAGAGACATCCTTTCACCAGCATCGAGAAAGGGCAGAGCAGCTAAGTCAAGAAAATGAGAAACTGATAAACCTTTTACAAGAGCGAGTGAAGAATGAAGAGCCCAATGCCCAAGGAGGAAAAATCCTGGAGCTGGAGCAGAAGTGCACAGATATTCTGGAGAAGAGCCGCTTTGAAAGAGAGAAGTTGCTCAATATTCAGCAGCAGTTGACCTGTAGCTTACGGAAGGTTGAGGAGGAAAACCAAGGAGCTTTAGACATGATTAAGCACCTAAAGGAAGAAAATGAAAAACTTAATGGGTTTCTAGAACTAGAGCGGTGTAATAATAGTGTGATGGCCAAAACTTTGGAAGAATGTAGAGTTACCTTGGAAGGCTTGAAGACAGAGAATGGGTCCTTGAAGTCTCATTTGGAGGGAGAAAAGCAAAAAACTATGGAGACCAGTAGTACCCTGGGGCAGACAGCAGAGAACTGTAAAGTCCAGGAAATGTTGGAAGTGGCTCGAGCTGAAAAAGATCAACTGGAACTGTCTTGCACAGAGCTCAGACAAGAATTGCTAAAGGCAAATGGTGAAATTAAACATGTTTCAAGCCTGCTAGCCAAGGTAAGAATAGGTGTCTCTTACCTGGTATTTGTTCATCCTTACTAACATTTCTCTCCTTGACCTTAAAGTTGCAAAGAGAATCATTTGTTCTGTTACTTTCATTCATGAACCTAGCATTCTAAATGCTTGAATATCTGTGATTCCAGATGGACTGGTATTGAGATTCAAAAGGAAATACCCAAATTTCTGACTACAGGCAGTTGAAAGTATAATGGGGATATAGTAAATCACATCAAATGGTAGGATATATTGATAAAGAATTTCATAGGGCTGGGGAATACAGTTCAATGGTAGATGCTTGCCTAGCATGCATGAGGCCCTGGTTTCCATCGCATACCGAAGAAAAAAAAATTTCTGCTGAAGCTGCAGTCTAGTGCAGAGGAGGGACACGAGAATAATATGGGAGGGGGGCAGGGCAGGAGTAGTGCAGAAGTAGTACTTCCTGGAAAAGTGACAGCTAAGCTGAGGCTTGACGATTGAGTTATCTAAGTCTATCATCATGAGTTTAGCTATTAGTAACAGTTAAAATTGTCCCCAATTTTCCCAGCAAGAAATAATACAGCCACGGGCTGGGGTTGTGGCTCAGTGGTAGAATGCTCGCCTAGTATGGGTGAGGCACTGGGTTCAATCCTCAGCACCACATAAACATAAATAAATAAAAATAAAGGCATTGTGTTCACCTACAACTAAAAAAAATATTTAAAAAATAATACAACCACTATTTTAATATTTTCTGTCAAATATATGTATGCATATATCTTCATGAATTAAAAAAAAATTAAGGGCTGGGGGTATAGGTCAATGATAGAGTGCATGAGACCCTGGGCTTTCATCTTCAGCACTGTAGAAAATAACATTTAGAACCATCCTGTACATGTTATTAACTTTTCTTTGTTGCATTTAACATTTTCTGAGCATATTCTCCCCATCAATTATTCTTTTAGGTATTATTTTAAATATGATAGTACTTTATTATATAACTATCTTATATTCACTAGTCCTGTGTTATTAAACATATGTGTTTTATTGGATATTTATGTTTTTTTTCTGGTCTTTCACTAGTGTAAATATATTTTTTGTCTCTCTCTGATTATTTCTTCAGGAAAAATTCCTAGACGTTGACTTAGTGAGTCAGAGAGTATAAACATTTTAAAGACTTTCAACACATTCAGCCAGATTGCCCTCCAGAAATATTATGCCAATTTGTTCCCACGAGCAGTTCATGAGAGCACTTGTTTCCCTGAGCCCTTGCCAACACTTGGTATTAAATTATGTCATTCAAATCTGTTAATCATTTCCTTTAAAAATATTTTATTTTTACCTTTTTAATTTAGAAAGATCTTCTCTAGCCCAAGATCAAATAAATGATCACTTCATTCATTTTCAAGTGACCTTTTGATTGTTCTGGAATTTTCTTATGTGATGCAAGATTGATAATAATTGTAGGATAGTCTGCCTACTCCACAGGGTAGGTGCAGAGAGATGACTTCCTGTTTCTGTCTTCATCAAGCTCTTGGGTCTGTGAATTAAGGGTCTGCTGGGGAGCGAGGGTAAAAAGCTTTTTCACTTTATGTGGGGGTTTATCACTGTTTCAAGCAGCAATTTGTGCTGTAAGCTCTTAGGCAGACTTTTCTGCATCGCTTCATCTGTCTTGAGACTTGTTAGTCGCATCCTGATTCTGTAGTTCGACATTCTGATGGTCCTAGTAGTATGTTGTGTTAGGAGTTTTTACCATTGTCTATGTTTTAAATTCATAAGTATTTTATTGAAAACTCAGGATTAGAATTAGAGGTTACTAGCCAGGTACTCATTTAATTGAAGCTTTGCATTGTCACCCAATAGAATATTTATCTATTTTGCTTAAAGATCACTGAGTACTCTTTTACAAAATGTTTAGTCTCCCAAAGGACTTTTTTTTTTTTTTGTAGTTGTAGATGGACAGAATGCCTTTATTTATTTGTTTATTTTTGTGTGGTACTGAGGATTGAACCCAGTGCCACTGAGCTACATCCCTAGCCCCCCACCAAGGACTTTTTGTGTGTGTTTGTGTGTGCTGCTGGAGGTTAAACCCAGGGCCTTGTGCATGTGAGGCAAGCACTCTACCAATTGAGCTATATCCCCAGCCCTCAAAGAGCATTTTTCAAGTCCTCTCTTAGTCCTTCATTGTTCTCTTTGGTATTTTGATTGGTATCTCACTAAATATATGTATCAGTAAGAAATAATTTGGCATCTTAAAAATAGCTTACTTCTTATCATAAAGTATTTATTATAGGAGATTTAGAAAATATAGAAAAGTATGAAAAGTGACCTTTATAACCTCTAATAATCTAAATATGGGGCTGGGGTTGTAGCTCAGTGGTAGAGTAATTGCCTGGCAAGTGTGAGGCATTGGGTTCAATCCTCAGAACCACATAAAAATAAGTAAATAAAAATAAAGGTATTGTGTCCATTTACAACTAAAATAAATAAATAACCTTTAATATCACATCTTGAAGAAAAAAACTATCAACATTTTTTGTGTGTCCTTTAAAGTTTGTTTATGCATACAAACCTGTATTGACAGAGTTTTATTTAATCTTTCTGCCAAAAAGAATAGAGTATGTCTTTCATGACTACAATGACCCCCATTAGATTTATAAAATCTATTTCTGATTTATGCATTTCTTTTATCATTTAAAATTCTTTTATATCGCTTTTTATACATTGTTTGTTTTCTTCCTAGCTTCTTAAGTAAAATTTTTCATTTAACTTTGTTCTTTCTTTGAAGTCATGAATTTTTTGCTTTCATGTGGTTTTGGCTAAATAATGACAATAAAATGTAAAGTTTTCTAGTATAAACTTAATATGATATGGAGGAAAAGGCAAGTATTTGCATTCTCTGTAGAATATAAGGCCCAAGATATATATTAAATATCAAGCTATTATAAATATTATAAAATCAAACTGTTATTGATATATTCCATATCTTATTTCTGGCTTACTAAAGTTATCAAATTCTAATGGAAGATGAAAAAGATTTTAGCCAGTGTTTAGGTGAAAGTCTGAGGTAAAAGATGAGATATGATGCCACAAAAGGTTTCTTTATACCTATCAAGACCTCAGGTCTATGATTTTGCACTGTTGTTTGCAAAGACATTGATTTGTAATGGCAGTGAATCTGTAACTTAATCTTCCTGCTGTTTTATATTAACATAGAAAAAGTATAATCCATACCTATGGAAGAGACCATCTCTGTTTTCTGTTGCTTTAACAGAACATCTGAGACTAGGTAATTTATAAAGAAAACAGCTTTATTTTGGCTCTTGGTTCTAGAGGCCGGAAAATCTAAAACCAGGTGGTCAAATCTTGTGTGGGCCATGTTACGCTTCAACTTACGGTGGAAAATTGGAAGGAGAAGCTCTGCATTCGGAAGATGGACCATGTGTGAGAGAGTGAGGGGAGATGTCAGGCTTACTTGATAACAATCTCCTGTCAAGGTCACCAGTCTAGTTTCAGGAGCATGAGAGTTCCCATGAGACTGCATTCATCCATTTATAGGGGTAGAGCCCCCCAAACTTAATCACCTCTTAGAGGCCCCACCTCCCAATTCCACTACATTGGGAATCAAATTTCATTGTGAGTTTTGGTGGGGACATATTATATCCAAACCATAGTAGCTTATTGTATCCCCACTGTAGAATATCAGGTAATCCATTGGCAATTGTGAATTCAAATGATGTTGCTTAAGCGACTCATGCCTTAAGGATAATAGGAACAGTTTTAGCATAGAATTAAAGATCTAAGTGTTAGACTGGGTCTTCCTGACTTGCCCAGTGACAAGTCTTATGACCTCAGGCAGGCCTCTTTCCATCCACAGTGTTGAGCCAGAAGTATGATGGTGGGTGTATTCTGGTTTTGTGCCAAAAATAAAGCATTTAACATTTCATCATTAATTATTTTTGTTGTAGACATTTGGTACATAACCTATATTATGTTATTGTAAGTGTTTTGCTAAGTCGTGTCTGATTTTTAAATAAAGGATAGGGGTTAAATTCTTTCTGTATCTACTGACATCTATTTTTGTGCCATCACATTGCTTTTTTCTCCTTTATTTTGTTACAGAGGTGAATTACAATAACAGATTCTCTAAGGTAGTTAGTCCTATGTTAAGTCATCTTGGCATTCCTGGAGTGAATCCTAATTCTTCAGTGCTCATCATTTCACTTGACATTTTTGCCCAGAATCTTCACATATGATGACTTTAAGCAGTTGTCAGAGTGGACTCTTCTATTTATCACTAAGCAGACTGTTTGGTCATCAGTACTTTATCCCTTGAGCATCATATTCATCCACTCTAATACTTGGCAGAAGAAGTAGATCCGATTAAAAGAATAAAGTTGTGTATTTACAAAGGGGAAAAGCAATATCAACCCACCCTACAATCTAATAGTTAACAGATTTACCTCACCTGATAGAGTTAATAGAGTTAGTGAATCTATAAGAGTTTCAATTCAAATATGTTACTTAATGACTCAAAAGAATTTCTGAAAGTCTTCAAATGTACTTCTTTTTGGATAGTATATAGTACTTTTCCTTGTGAAATAAATAGAAAGTTAGTAGAATTTTTATAATAACTATGTTTTTGTTTCATAGGATTTTTCTTCCTTGTATTTATTTGTCTTAGCAGTTCACTAATAATATCTCCATTCTTTTTTTTTTTTTTTTTTTTTTTTTTGTGGTGCTGGGGATTGAACCCAGGGATTTATACGTGCAAGGCAAGCACTCTACCAACTCGCCATATCCCCAACCCCAATATCTCCATTCTTTTCATTTTCTCTGGTAGATTCCCTATACATTTTTCTGGCAGCTTATGTAAGACACTTCTGTATAATTTTGAAAAAGGGTGTGATGTCTACAGGACCCCAAAGCCTCAGCTTCCTGTGAGGCATTTAGGTACCCAGGTAGCCCCTGTAGCCGGATAACAGCTTGTAGTTGCTTAGGGTTATTTTTTTTTCCCCAGC